TTAATAGCGTTTTTTATTGGTAAATCTGGTTTTAATCTAGATTTACTTTTGATCTGTCAAATTTAGTTGCCTAATCGAACATTTTAAGAGCAATTTAACATTTTTGTAGTAGTGTTAATATATATTTATATATATTATATATACGTATATCAAATCACACTTTGTCTGTCAAATCATATAAAACAGCTGTTAATTTTAGGGTAATCTAGCTTTTCTAACAAAATATCTAAAGTGTTATACATTTTGCCCCAGATTAACTAATCGAAAATAAAAGTTCACTAAAAGTGCATTAAAAGAGCTTATTATAAGAGTAAATACTGATCTAGACTGATAAAGGCCTTATAAGGCTTATAAACGTATAAATTTATCTGCTTTATAAATGAAGGGTGAAATTCTGTAGGAGAAATAATTTACAGAAATGTAATAAATTTACACGAAAATTTTACCGAATAAATATATATCGTATAGATTTACTTGTTGTCAATACAAAGCTGCATTCCAACACAAACAAATCATTTACAAAAATATCTTTGTAAATATTTTTTAGTTTGGACTTTTCGCTCAATTTCGGTATTTTATTTTATAATTTATTGATAGCGACACAGCTGATGAATAAAGTTTGCACAATTATTTAAAATTTTAAAATTGCAACGATATCAGGTAAAAAATTACGCTGCTAAGCATTGCATTTTGTGCCTAGATAAATAGTGCTGTTATACACCAGACTGATAAATTTACACAAATATTTCACTAAGTGCGTTCATATAAAAGTGTACCTAAACGCATAAAACTATACATTTGATAAATTTATATGCTTAGATGAGTTCCCCTAATAGTTATATTTTGTTTTATAGATTTTATATATAAAAATTTATTTAAATCGATGTAGTTATATTTTATTAAATATTTCATGAAATATATATAGTATGTAAACAGTAAATGTTTTCAAATAAAGGAGGAGTCCTTATGAATTCTATTTGGCATACGAAACTTTTGCTAAATAGCTAAAATGCTAAAATATCGAGTTTGTGGTAAATATTTTATTTGTTAAATGTTAAATTCGAATTTTGCTTGACATTTTTTTTAACTTTTTGAATTTATATTTTAGCGTGTGTGTATTTTTGAAATATACAAATAGAGTCACATAAACATTTTTTTGTATTGATACATTGAACTCTGTTCTGTAGAGCACATTTACGATTTTTATATTTTGCAATTTAACATGCCTTTAGAATACAAAATAAAAATCGTGAACAGGCCTAATGCCAAATACCTCATTCCATAGATACGAACAGCACATGGTCATGTTATATTTCTGATAACTAAAATGAAGCTTAAGAACTTTTATACACAATATATTATTTTGATATGTGTATATAGATGTTTAGAGTGATTGACTGACTAGTTAGCAGGCAAATTACTAATGTTTTCTTTATCTAACACAACAATTATCAATCATATTGCACCTAACATGAGCTATGATTCATGAAGCTTAATGAAAATAAAAAATGAGTAGTGAGGTTTAAAATTTAAAGTCTTAATAAAAAAATACGCTGTAATTTTTGACGAAAGAAATGCAATATCATAATAAAATTCTCTCCAATATAAATATAAAAAAATTTTGAATTGAGCTTTGATAACATAGAAGAGTGAGCAAGAAATGCATATGCATATATTATTTAACGCTGCACGTTCCCTTCTAATTTCATGGGAGGGTTTTTTGAAGTAATGTGTACTAAAAAATTATTACCTAACATTAAGGATAACCTCTGCTTTGAAAATGGTGATAAAAGGGGAACTGTATTGATCTATTGCTGGCGTCACAGTGATAGACCAATATAAAACACATTATTGCTTTCTAGGAAATCAAAACTGATTATTTTCCTAGAAAAAACAGCTATCAATAAAAAAACAGAATATATAGAGGAAGTGCTTTTATGAGTTTTAAAGGTAAGAGCAGAAAAAGTACAACAGCATATGCCATATAGTAAGTGCTAACGTTCTTATTATAATATATACCAACTATAA